TTTTCACATGGGACTGGTGCAAATACAGATTATAGTATGAACCTTGGCAAGGTGTGTTTTGGGGTTCATTGGTAAAGAGGTTCATGGGTATGTGGGTAAAGAGGGTGTGTTTGTGTAACTGTTTATGAGTTTTTATTGAGAAATAAATCCACAGTGTTTAGACACAAGCGGTTTCTCCTTTTACAGACTATTTCCCCAGCCTTGGAAAAAACCCGTTCACATGGCACAGATGAGGCTGGGGTACACAGGAAATGCTTGGATAATTCATAGAGGTTTGGGTAACTATATATGAAATATATCTATATATATATCTTATCTATATAGGTATATATCTTATTTATATCTAATGTTATTTAGGACTATATGTATCTATTTCTCTCTAACTTACTATATCTATCTATTAATCTATCTCTCTATCTACAGTGATTCTCCACTAAATACACAATCTGCTACAACTCTACTAACTCTCAAAGCAATAACTAACACAACAACAGCAACAAACCAACCTGCTCTGCAAAGACAGATTCAAATGAACACCACTAAATAGGGATATCCTGTCTCTGAACACACTCGATCCAAAGTGATTCACATGATAAACCGAACCAATCAGATGATTCACCGGACTTTTTTTTTTTTCTTTTGCAAGAAATTTATTGTCCCTGTTTTGGAAAATAGCTTTAATCACATAGCGTTAAAAACAATGGAGGACAAAGATGAGGACAAACAGCGGGGACAGTGCATCAACAAACAATATGATTTAAAATGCATAATTATGTGCTGATGGGATACAAACCACTGGAGACTAAACGATAAGTATCAACACAGTATGCTTCAGCATTAGGACAGCTTTCTTTAAACTCTATGTAACATCCCACACTTTGCTTTGATACTGATACCCCCACCCCCACCCCACACGGCCAGAAAATAGCCAGAGGGAGAAATAACAGAAGAATAATATCCATATTTCTGTAACTGTACTGGCAAAAAGCTCTGTGGCAAGTTTAAAACTAACAGCGGCTTCTAATAAGAGGGTATGATAACCAGTAATGACAAGTAGTTATAAATATGAGAAAAACTCACACCTCTTGTCTACAGCTACAGGCAAGACCCCAGTTTAACACTGTAGTTACACATTTTATATACCACGTTTGACTTCATTTGTCCACATATCGTACATAATAAAAAGTTATACGTTTATCAATAATTGTTAGAAGTTATATCTGTTTACAGCTATATAGCGATTACCCTTATACCCAGCTGATTCACCTGACGTCCGACGAACCCAACTGCTTCGGACGTCACTCAAGTGATTCAAACGTCACTAGTCACATGACCGAAACACGCCTTGGCACAGTGGTTTGAAACAATTGCTTTATGAGCTACCGTACATGTGTTGGAGCCTCGGGTGTCAAAGGGCCATCACTAAGGTAGATTACACCTTGCCTTGGCCACTCTGGTGCTAAACTACACTGGTCGCCTGAACAAAAATAGTCATACTGCCTGTGTGTGTTTTATTACTACGCTCCTTTACCAAATTTGGCAAATTGAAGTTGAATGCATGCAATAATGGCTTATTAGTGTGTATGAAATATTAATGACACAATATAAAGTCAAGTCTATTTCTAGTCTCCAACGTTCAATATGATTTCCCACTGCCATGGAAATAAAGTGAACAGGAGAAAAACAGCTCTGGTGAGGGGCCTGACTTTGACCTGACTTTCTATAAAAACTATTTATTGTGCTTTCTGTTTACTAAAACAGTAATTTTCAAATCTTGAAAAGCTTGTCTTCCACTACTACTATTGGTGGGATAGTGTAGAACCAGTTTATCTTATTAAACATCAAATTAAAAATAAGAGGGGCCACCTCTGTCTTGGAAAGTAACTGTTTAAAAGTCAAATATAGAGGAAGATATCATTTCAAGACTGAGATATGAACAAACCAGACTAATTAGTACATTGTTTCAATGATCAAACATTATTGGGAAATTAGATTATTGTGGTTTGAACGAAACAATAGAATGTATTTAAGGAATGCCCAAGATATCAAGAGAGACATTAAAAATGCAAGGTTAAGGAAACATCAGATTTAGCATATATAATACATTACAAATAAACTCAGGGAAGCAGTCATTTGTTCTGTCTTTTAGTTTAAAAAGGTTGTTAGATAAGTTTTCTTGAGCCATGCTCCTATCCAGAAGGTTTTGCCAGCCGCCAGAGGGGTAGAAGAAGAATGGTCGGTTGATCACCGGAAGTATTTATTACCACTTCCGGGTGTTTGGTGCAAAAAATTGGCGGTTCGTGTTTTTATGTCCAGGCCTAAGCTTGCGGCCTAGGCTGCCGGCGTTTCGAGCAGTCAGCTCCGGACATTCTGACGGCATTTCTTATATCTCTCAATAATGACGAACCCGGCGTTGTTGCAGGAAAAGAATGGGAGATATTTGTGGTTTGCACTTCTGGGGCTGGGATTTCAACCGGACACGGCAACGTCGTCAGTCTCCGGCAAAGTTAGCGTAAATGCTAAACACATCAACTTGGGATCGTGAGTTTATTGTTCATAACGTTGCCAGGTTAATAACTGATATTAGCTAGTTTACCAGTCATTGTCCAAGTACTTTAAGCTACCGTTAAGTTGTGATGTAACGTTACAATAGTCTTTAAACGTGGTTCTAACTACTGTTTTATGTTCAATAGGAATATGTTTGATAAACCAAACAAAGATGCTTTCTACATAGTAACCCGTTTCCTGTTAGAGAAACTCAACAAGACGCGATTTCATGAAGCATACAGGTAAATTAAGACACGATTAACAATTGCTATTCCTGTATAAACGTGTCTTCGAGCCACTGTTATAAACGTCACACTGCTTATTCTTGTGATTAGAAATTGCTGGCCGGTTTTGAACCCCAAAGCAGATGTTGAGTTTCGTAAAGTTACCTGCGCTTGGCTGCGTGAAATAATGGTAAGAATATTTCACTATTCTCCAGTGCGTTTCCCAGATACTCCAGTTACATCCTCACAAATGAGAAATTGAGACCTGCATTCCTACAGGCTTTCATTTTATCCTTGTTTGCTCCCTACTTGCCTGTTTTTCTCACATGCTTTCCATAGAGATTTGTGTGCAGTTTTTGCATGACAAAAAGCACAAAATGTGCACATAAGGAAAGTGTTGGGATGTAATGATGGACTAAGATGCACATCAAAAAAGCAGAAGCCCTGGTTTGAATCTACCTTTGATTGCATGTCATCACCTTCACTTTCCTCTTAGTCATTTCAAGGCTAACATCTAAAATGTGAAGGAAATACTTTTTAATTCACAAACACAGGTTCAGTTGTTTAGTGTGCTGCATCATTTGTTGTGTGTAGGATGAAACTGCAGGCACAGGATCCAGAGTGGTGGCATCTCTGTTCCTCTCCCCTGGAGGCCCCAAGTTTGTCACCTTGATGCTTCATTTGGCCAACCATGTCATGCTGCAGGAAATGAAGACCTTCAGCACAGGTAGGTCTAGATAGGAGATCCTGTCTTTTTTCAGTACCAGTAGCCCTTGTTCATAATTTGAACACAATCCTAAAGCGTAGAATGACACAGAAGTGGCTTTTCAGACACCACCATTTAATTTAATTTGTCATGGAGCTGGAACGTGGAGAACTAGCAATCAGTCTTGAATATTGTCTTCATCAGATGATAGCTGGGTTCCTGAGGCTGCAGCGATACCAGCTTCCTCCCTAGACATGGCTGTGAAGAGACTCGATCTGATCAGTACCAGGTTTTTGAAAACTGCAGTGGCTCAGGATCGTTTCCTCCACGAGTACCAGAGGCGAGCCCAGTAAGTCCTTGGTATTCCACTGGCAGCTGGACAGCTAATTACTGTTTCATATTTACATCAGTGAATCTGGCATTAACAAAAATGGCACCTGTTCAGTAGTGTTTGGCAAATATAACAAATCATTATTACTGTTTCACAAAAATAACTATACGATATTCAAATGGAAGGGGAAAACAGCAGTTTTCTAGATTCAGCAAAAGCAACAGCATTGCTGTTAAACGTAGTGTTGTGCATTATTGTGAAGAGTGTCAACAGGGTTAATTGTGCTTGTGTAATAGTTGCTAGTCTGAGTTGTTTATTTCTTTGTTCTTATTCTGCTCCTGTGTGTTGTTATACTGGATGCCTTTACCTTGTTGAAAATGATGCTCTACTGCTGAAATTTACTTTGGATGCCTTTACCTTGTTGAAAATGATTCTTTACTGCTGAAATTTACCTTTTCCCCAGAGGCATTTTGCTTAAAGATGGTCATTAAATATGCTGCTCTTAATGTTGTTTGTGATTAACATTTTGTTTCAAGCCCCACCCATCTGTGTGCACTAATTAGTAAACCAGTGGTTAACAAGGTGTGCTGGTGGCTGCAGGACGGGGTTTTCAAATTAAACCGATGTAGGAGATGATCAGAGTTTGCATTACTAAGCATCAAGCTGCTGTGAACATACAGTATTTATTTGATGTTATTTTTGCAGAGTAGGTGGAAGTAACTTGCAGCTGTGCTGTTGGTTTACTATTGTCTAACTGTTCTTTTTCTCTTTTTCCTGTTTTCAAGGCTTCTGGTGAAGTCCATGAGAGACATCAGAGCGGAGGGCGCCAAGTATGATGAGCTTCTCAAGTACGTATGCCTCTTTGTTTCTCTGTGTCCTTCTGACTGATCCGCTTTGTCCTCTTTGTTTAATCTGTCGACCTTTTCAGGTGTTATAGCAGTGGTTTTGCACAGGAAGGAGCATCTCTAGCAGAGAAGACCCAGAAGGTATTTGATATTATATAAGATGTGATCTGTACTTGGCAGTTATCAAAAAGCCATTGTAGCAGTGCTGATTGAAAGCTTCCTGCCTGGCTTTCCAGATTAAGGCTGTGTTTAGACTGAGATTCAGAGGTGGAAAAAATGCAGCCCTCTTCATTCACTGCAGCCTCAGACACTTTTGTTTACCTGGTTAGCATGAGCACTCGCTGCTGTTCTGTCAAATTTGGGCCACAGTTAACGCACCATAAAGACACACCTTGAGTGTGTGTTACTGTTTTTCTATCAATGCCAACACAGTGGTGGTAGAAACTGGTTTTAACGTAGTATAGGCTATGTGAGCAGCATGGCTAACCAAAACACATTTAGTGGGGGTGGCTTATAGTCCAGAAATTACAGTATTACATTCTAAACTTCAGACAAGTTTTAGAATGGGAGCTAACAAAAATACTTGGTTGTCCTAAGGTGCGCACCTTGTGGTCAACCATTGATGAAATGCTGTCGACTACCAAGGAGAACCAGAATGCAGTGGAAAGTGTTTTGAAAGGGGATGCAGACCAGTACATCCTGGACGGGACAGATCGAGTCCTCAGGCTTCCTCGGACTCTCCTGGAGAGAATTGAACAGCTTCCACATCAGGTGACATTAACTGCTCAGTCCGTTCTGTTAATTCTAACACATAGCGATTATGTTTGTATCTGTTGGCTTGTTTGGCATAAAGTGTAGTAGAACTTTCAGTATTATGTGAGGCCAGAAAGCATCACTGGTGTGTTTGAGAGCACAGTGTTCTTCACCCTATCAAATGTTAAGATTTGTGATGGAAATGATGTGAATGCCAATATGGCAGACATGGATTTAAATTTAAGATTTGTGATGGAAATGATGTGAAGGCCAATATTGTAGACATGGATTTAAGAGTGTGGCTACAAGAACTAAACAGAATTTCAATCCAAGCATAAATACAGCAGTATTGTTTTATAAGTGATCACTTTGAGTGATCTCACCGCAGCCTGTGTTTTGTGCAGTTGAGTTCAGGGAATGTGTATGAGGCTGGTCAGCTGAACGTCCTGTGTGTGCTGGAGCTGATGAATCACGCGCTGCAGCTCCTGAGTGAGAATCGCCGTCGAGTCGCTCATGCCCCCAGGCCCCAGCTCAGTCCTGAGCAGCTGCAAGAGAGATGTCAGCAAATGACCCACGTGCTGCAGGACCTCCGCCTCCTCAGGTATACTTGAACCCACGCTCACTCTCTAGCCTGTCTGGCATGCTGTGATAGTGGTGCAACAGTAGGACAGTGTTGTGGTGCTACATGAAAGTGAAGGTAACATGAGTAGCAGTTTATTAACCTTATTTTTTTATACCCTCAGACAGAAGATTTCAAAGGAAGAAATTCCTGAGGTTAGGAGTAGCATCCTAAAGTTGGACGCTGAGTGGGACAGGAAGTGGAAGGACATCCTGAAGGACACACCCCTAATCTCTTTTCTGAATGAAGATCCTGTGAGTGGTCCTTGGGGTTTTGAACCAGTTTAATCCGAGGGCATTCCAAATCAGTGATTTATTTATTTTTCCCTCTCTCTCTTTCATTGTGCAGCAGCAAAGTTAGATTTTTATCTGTTTTTAGGCTCTTGGCTTCCTCTCACCAATGGCTCCTCTGTCATTTGAACCGGCGTCTGAAGCTTGTAACAGAAGTTGTGTTTTCTCCCAGTATCCAGCTAAACTTCCTGGTGAGCAGAATCAGGTTATATTGCAGTTCATATATTTTGATGGATGTAGCAACTTGGTTTCTAATCTGCAATGTTTCAGAGGAGAAGCCGGCAGAGAGTAAATCACAGGGCGGCGTCAGCCCCAGTTATCCTATCGTGGAAAGGTAACATAATCTGTGTTTGCCTTGTGCTGGGAGGCAGATACCTGGGCAGTCCTGAGCAGTGCTCTGTCCGTCACTAGTCCTCCCTACAGCATCCATGCTCTCTGATGACCGCGGCGAATTGAGGGAAATCGCCACGGACAGATACGGAGCAGACATTGTTTAATTCTACAGGGCTTTAATCATACATGATGGTGAGAATGTGCTTTCAATAACGAAGTCTTTGTCTTCATGAAACAGTTATTACCCTGCAACAGCTGAGAAGAGTGAAGACCCTGTTGTCTCCAGTCAAGCATCATCACGGGCGAACACCTCTCTCGACTGGCTTTTTGAAACGCCTCCGTCCCCTCCTGTGAAGGCTCCGCCTGTAGCCCCTCTTCAGGTTGGTGTTACTTCATAGAACATCTGATTCTGAGCCAAACCCATTTTTTAGATTCACTCCACCTTGTCATTTCTTTGTAGTTCCTTTGATAATCTGTATTTCACCCTTTTATTTCCGTTTTTAGGCCAGTGTGAGGACGGTGACTCGTGTTCCACCAAAGGGGGCTTCCATGAGGATCGAGACTGAAATATTGGACATGGAGTATGACAACCTAGCTGATCAGGTAAAGCGATGCCTCTGACACTAATGGAAGCATCAAAGGCTGCAGCACAGGAGCTTAGGAAATGTAAATGTGTCTTGTCACAGTTAAGGTTGAATCTGATGAATAGTTTAACAGTCCTTGCTGCATTTTATTAAAGCAGTATGACTATTTCTGAGTCTGGAATGAGTTGAGAAATGACGGTGAGACGCACAACTAAGGTAAGGATTTCAGTCCTGATGTGTGTGTGTGTGTGTGTGTGTGTGTGTGTTAGTTTGCAGATGCTGTAACTACAACCACTCCCACAGAGGGCAGAGTCAAAAGTCTGGACTTGGAGGTCCTTCTCAACTCTCTTCACAAAGATCCTTTCTCTACTAGGAAGCAGCTGCCACGCACACCTGAGAGCTTGAGTAAGTTAATCTTCTCTCTTCATGTTTGTTCATTTGTGAAATCTTGCCTAAAACACTGAGGGAGGTCCATCATGGTGTTCCTTGGAGTGGGTAAAATGAGTCGCCCCCTTTCTGTTTTCCCAAGTTGCAGATGTGAAAAGCTCCTGGCAGAAGGCGCTTGAGGAAGATGAAGCGGAGAAAACCCAAGTGACCGACAGCATTGTGAGCCACCTCACTCTCCTGAGCCCCAGTGCTCCCTCCCAGAGTGTCTCCTACTCTATCAGCCACAGCAGCCCCCCCGTCTGCAAGCAGGGGGTCTTACTCCACTCCACTCTGTCATGGGACACCATCAGTGCTGAGGCTCCTGACAGCCCTAGTGGCACAGGCAGCAGTGCGGTCCAGTTCAGCCTCAACTGTGAAACATTGCCTGAAATGTCGAGCTACGACAGTCTGCTGAGCCTCGATGACGAAGCCGTGGATGTCAAGAGTGAGGACGAGCTCCTCATACCTTCCCTGAAGACTGAGGCGAAGCAGTCGCCATTAACCACATGTCAGATAGAGCGGGTGTGCAATGACGGCTCCTTCATGGAAAACAGGAAGAGGACACCCGCGTGCCTTCTGTCGGATCACGCTGTGTCTGGTTTAGACAGGGACTGGCTAATGGAGCCTGCAGCATCCGTGGAGGCCACAAACAAGGTCTTCTCACTGGACCTGGAGGCACTGGACACACCCTCAACACCAGAGAAGCAGGAGTACAGCCTTCCAAAGCTGATCGTGTTCTCCCCCATTGATGACATGAAGTGATAGCTACATTCATAGAAACCATTCCTCACCCTGCCTTCTGCTGTCTTCCCTGATTTTAAAAGATGTAAATAAAATGTGTACATAAATGTAAAATAAGCGACTTTTGTCCTGCACTAAATTGGTTTTCCATTCTCTTAATTTAAAATAATGAGAATGAGCTGCTTCAATAAGATAAAAGGACTGTTTTTTCTTTTCTACTTATTTGTATATTTCCAGTATGGAAACCAGTTTCAAATCAGACTGTTTGTGTCCGTTTGGGAAATCCATTAAACTGTTGGGCAGCTGCTGTGGTGAGTCCACTGTCTTAATGAAAATGCTAGTGTGCCTCTTCCCTTTAACGCTGTGACTGCACTTTTAGCACAGTTTCCTGCCACACATGCCTTTACAGGGTGGAAGTAATAAAAGGCGGTTGTAAGCACTTTGCACAATCTGAAGTATTATTGGTTTTCTGCTGCTGTCTGAAACATCTGGAGCTGCAAGATGTGGCATGTCCCGTGTTTACTGGTTAAAGTGACATTTACATGCCTCTATGTTTGTAGCTTGCTTTGAAAATTAGACAAAAGCTGCTGTTCTCATGAAAAGGAGAGAAAGTCCAGCTCTGGTTTTATTCATTGACCAGTGATCCACAGTTTGTTTTTTGAGAGAGAGAGCAGCAACATGTGAAGATGAACTTAATCACTTGTTTTTCTATACTGGTGTAGCTTCCACCAGGTCCAGATGGGGGCGTCAGAAACTCATCAAAAGGGAAAATAAGTCAAGTAGGCAGTAAAAGCTGAGAAGACAGGAAGTCAAATTGTTTTACCTTAACAATGATTTGCCTTTTGTGGAAGTAAGATTTCTGAAGTTGTAAATTAAAGACTTATGATAAACAGCTAAAACTTATTTTCATTTGTTTTCCAGTCAGTAAATTGTTTCTGTTGCAAAATAAATCGAGATAGTATATTTAAAAGCAGCTCTATGGAAATGGCCCTCAGGGCACATTGTTCATTACACTTGAATGAGTGCATTAGAGAAACAGTGTTAAGATTAGCATATTACTATGAACTTTTTGTCTCTTTATATTTGTCTCATGCCTCCTTTTGTTGTCTTTGCATATTTTTGTAGTTATTTTTTCTGTCTTTAGTCATTTCTTTGGCCTGTGCCTGCTTTGGCTGCCAATCCATCTGTGTATCAGCAGAAATATGTTTGTGTAATAGTTGCAACTCAAAATCAGAAAAAAATGGGATGTATGGAAAATTTAAATCAAAACTAAAAATTATTTGCAAGTCATCTATGAAATAGATCTCGATTAAAGATTTTTATGGATGCTGAAGGATTGCCCTGAAAATGCCTGAAATCTTTAGTTGAAAGCACAAGAAGAGAAGACGAGAGAGAACTATCCCTCCAGCGTGTCCTGGGTCTTCCTCAGGGCCTCCTCCCGGTGGGACATGCCCCGGAACACCTTCCTAGGAAGACGCCCAGGAGGCATCCGAAACAGATGCCCGAGCCACCTCAGCTGGCTCCTCTCGATGTGGAGGAGCAGCAGTTCTACTCTGAGCTCCTCCCAGGTGACTGAGCTCCTCACCCTATCTCTAAGGATGCGCCCGGCCACCCTGT